ACCTTCTGATGTCTGAAAAGAATAATTTGCCTTAGATGAATGCTAAAAGAAGAGGTAAACAGTTCACAAATTTTTGCATTAGTTCAAGAAGACATACATGACCGCGCTCCAATATGTTTTTCTTTATGAACTGCTCTATCTCTTTCTCCCTTGTCTCAAAGACTGGCATAGCAGTCTGCGCAATACATCCAAGAGATTGTAGTACAGCAGGTAAATGTGACTTCTCATCTAGCATATCAACAAGTCTCTGCACATTACACAAATAATGTAACACCCAAAACCTCATCAACATATGACGAAGATAAATCTAGAGAGAGGATAAACCAATAGGCAGTGATTTATATGGCTATAATGAGATAATGACCTACCTTATATAGAACAGAAAGTGACTTGAGCCCATCATCCTTCATTATTGATGCAAGTGCGTGTACAGCATACTTGGCCTGCCTCCGGCTTCCCTCCAAGCAAATCCTCTCAAGCATAAGGTCTAATGACCTGTAAGTTACAAGCATAATGTCTCAGCATATTGCAGCAAGGAACAAGCACCAAAGCATAAAAGCTCCAAATGTGAACCTTGAAGAATCTCCCAATTTTTCTCGGATGGCTCCACCAGCCTTTGCCAAAACATGCAAGACACCTTCTTTAATTATCTCATTATCATCTTCAAGCAGATGTATCAAATCTTCCTCAATTCCAGTAAGCAGCAACGGACAGAAACGTGCAAGAATCTGCAACATTCATCAAAGAAAGACATGAATTGAAGGAAGCGCAGAAAAGGAAATTACATACTTCCTAAAACAATAATTGATCAAGTCAGAGATGACGCTTTTGTAGTAGTGTCATCCGATGGTAGCAACACATCGAGTAGCTCAGAATTTATAGGGCACTATAGTGTTAGACTGATTCTTAAGGATGGGATAGTTTTGCAAGCAATACCATTATATCAAGATACACCAATGCATCAACCAAAAGCCCCTTGTTTCACTTCTCTCCTTTATAGGTTATAATAATGAAGTCTAGCAAACAAACATGAGGACAAGAAAAATGCAATTATATAAAAGAAGCAAGTTAGTATTAAATTACCACAAGTATATGTGTGCAACACAGAATCAAATCAGTGCTTCCAGCAGATTTTTGTATGTTAGTCTCCTGAAGGATTTCATTTACATGCTCCTTGTTGAAAAGTACATATGAGCACTTCAATGAAAGTGTGCCCAGAAAGTCATAGAGCCGATGCTTCTCACCAAGGATCTTGAGCAATTCATCCTGACAGAGAATAACATCACATGAGAACTGCCATGTACTCAATACATTCATAGGCATTGCAGCGACTTTAATCTATCAGTAAACAAACAAGAAGTGAGAACCCAAGCAAAGATTAATCAAAAGTAGGTATTCTCCTTACCCGAGAACTAGAAGCTTGAATAGAGCTACTGTTTGGATCAAGGAGAGCTGTTAATATCCTCCAGACATTAGCATCTTTTAACTGATCAAGAATCTGAAAGTTCTCTTCTGCCTTTCCAGGATCAGTAAAACAACGAGACATGATTCGGAAGCAAAATACAACTTTCTTTTGGATCTCAGTGGCATCGCCATCCTGCAATTATTTTACATTGAAGTTCAGTAATAAACTAATGCATTCACCTTTAGCCTTTTATTGTTCAGGAAGAAAGAGTGGAAGAGTTGCAAACCTGGTGCATCTGCCTTAAAGAAAGATACCTCCTCATCTCTTGCTGCAACCTGCAGCGCAGTCCAAAACTCAATGAATATGTAGTTCAGGTTGTACTACAAAAGTGAGATAAATGGAGACAGAAACAACATCCAGGAACACCTGACATCCAGATCAAACATTCATGACAAACCTTTGCTTCTGCTCCAGCAGCTTCTCAAGCGCTCTAATCTCAACCTTGTCAAAACTCAAGAAAACCCTAACCCAATTTTTAACTTTATCCTTGACTGAGAATTCACTTGGGAACAAGGATGAGCAAAGAATGTGCTCGACGATGTCTGATCTGTAGACAAAGACACTAGTCAATAATGTATTTACCGAATGCTTGTCAAATGAGCCTGTTCAAAAAATATAAAATTTCTGATGTTGCAGCTTCAGATTCCAAAACTCCAAGTTAAGGTGTGGCCCAGAGCACACATTAGGAATATGGAGTCCCATTCAGGAACTACAGTATAACTTGCGGTTTGTGTTTACAGTAGAAGCTTCACTTGCCAATTACTTAAGATTCCACAAGGAAACAACTTAATAGTTTAATTTTCAATTTCTCATCATTTGTTAAGAAAATAATTCATCCATCTTTCACTTATCAAAATCATAATATATCCTTCCGCAAACAGCAATGGCAAGTTACCTGAAATCCTTGTCATAAAAACATCTCAAAATCCTCCCTGGGATCCAATCATATTCGTTGCCTTTAATTGAGCCAGTGGAAGAGTTTAAGCAATAGATTCTGTATATATCAGCCAGCCTCTCCAGCGTGTATTTTTTAACAAGAAGCTGATAACATAAGACAACAAAGCTATCAGAAGACGGAGTAAGAATTCATTAATTGTCGATTTCAAAGTCAATTAGACACTTAAAACTAGACAAGTTACATACAGATTTATCTCGAATGCGCTCTGCTACCAGCTTAATCGTTTCA